GCAAATCCCAAGAGGGAAACCTGGGCCTGGGGCTTGCCAGATTCCCTTTTCTAGCTCAGACGGGCTGGCTGCCACTGGCCACGGGTTGCTGGAGACAAAGGGGTCAGCGCAGTGGTCCTCCCAGGAGAAACCGTTAAGAAATTAAATTCTGTAAAAATAAAAGATTAGAAACAAGTAGGAGATTGGTTAATACACTAAGAAACTTGTATTCGATAAAATACTACACAGAAAAAGAAAAAACACTACACGGTAAGAATGAAGAACCCAGCTGGGCAGTGGTGGCACAGGCCTTTAATGGTGGTGGCACTTGGGAGGCAGAGGCAGGAGGATCTCAGTGAGTTTGAGGCCAGCCTGGTCTACAGAGTGAGTTCTAAGACAGCCAGAGCTACACAGAGGAAACCCTGTCTCAAAAAACAAAGACAAAAAGAATGAGCAATGCAGCTCCCTGAGCTCCAATACAGACGGTAACCCAGGAGAGTGAAAGGCTCTGCTGATAAGAACTGTGTCTTAGTTGTCACTAACCTCTACCTGTAAGCCACTGCTTCTTCCAATGATGCAAGGAGGTCATAAGTCCAAGATGAATCAAGCGTGACCTGGTCATGGATAGAAGTCATTCCCAGATCACCTTACACTGTTGGGAATATCTGAGGGGATCCGTTGCAGCTGTGCTTTTATTAATAGCAAACCACTGCTAAGTCTTGTTACTTGGTGTGTTAGTCCAGAAGAACTTGTAGGTATGCCTCTATTTTGACAGGTGTATGAAACGTCATTGGTTTCCTCTGTAAACCTCATGGGTGATTTTTTTCCCCCACAAGTGCTGCTGTGAGAGGGGCTTTGTTAATGGACAAAGGTCCATGACACAGAAACACAGTAGGATGGAAAATCAGTGTCAGTCATCTGCTACTGTGCATGGTTAAGAAACGGATCCCAGCTGGGCATGTTGGCATATACCTGCAACACCAGAACTATGGAGGTGGGGGCAGGAGGTGGGGGCAGGAGGTCCAGGAGTCCTAGGTCATCTTTGGTTAGAGACTTTGAGGTCAACCTGGGCTACGTGAGATCCTGTCTTATAAATGAGTGAGAGCTGGGAGACCAAATACGTCTGGAACAGAACATAGAACCCCAAACAGGCCCTCAGAAATACACTTGATTTTCTACAAAGGCATAAGATTCGATGGAAGAGACTAGAGCAATTAGACATCCACATACCCCAAACTGAACCTTTTCCTTCAGCTAAACGGGCTCAGACATGAAATGTGAAGCTGCACCTGAGCAGATTGAGCAATGCACACCAGTATTGGCGTGGTACTGCTCCACAATACTGTGGGTAGAAAGCTGGTCAGTGGTGCACAGACCCCTGTATTATCCCTCACACTTGCAATGACCCCCCCCCAAATTACCTCTGTACTAAAGATTACAGAAAAACAGAAAAAGCTTGTGTATGTCCAAACCATGCCTGGAACGAGACAGGAAGGCGGTCTGTCTGTAAGTGGGGGGGGGGGTCCCATTCCTACCTTAAACTTTTATTACTAATTATGTAGTTTTAGGTGTTACCTAAATTTATAATTACTTATTTTTAAAGAAGCCTGGAGAGGGCTGGCAAGATGGCTTAGTGGACAGAAGCATCTACCACACAAACCTGAGGGCTTGCATGAGATTCCTGGAGCCACCCCGGTACAAGAAAAGAACAGACTACTTAAAGTGGTTCGTGGCACACGTACGTGTGACTGACATCAGACACGCTGTGGTAACAGCTGCCTGGGGAACGTGAAGAAATGACACAGAGAAAAATTACTCTAGTAAAAAGCAAAACTGTTTTCTACCAGAGTCTAACAGTGCGTGTCTGTAATCCCAGGCCCGAGGAGCTGCAGCAGAGAATTTTGAGTTTAAACCAAAACTGGTCTACATAGTGAAATGCTGTCTCAAAAACAGACAGACAGACAGGCAGGCAGGCAAACAGACACAAAACTGTTTCTTAGGTTACATTTGAACTAAAAGCATTAATGTTGAAATTTGTCTCATCTACTTTATCAATCACTTGTTTTAAAAGGTCATGTTTTAAATGAGTCTGGAAGTTGTTTTTCTTACTCATGTTCATTCACGCTTCTGTGTGGGAGTTTACTACACCGCATACCTGCAGGTGCTGGCTGAGGCTGAGGGTGCTGGGTCCCTTGGAACTGGAGCTATAGGTAGCTGTGAGATGCCTGTGAGTGCTGGGAACCAAACTCGGTGCTCTGCAAAAGCTGTGAGCCCTCTTAACTGCTGAGCCACCCTTCCAACCTATTTGGAGTTTTTCCTATGTAAAAACCTGTGCCAATCATCGCTTGTTGACAGCCACTGACACCTGGCTCTGTCTGGCAGCTAAGCAGCAAAGCGCGCTGGAGCTGGGGAGGGCTACCTCATGGCCCTATGCTTCTCAGTGGTCCCCCTGAGAAGCAAGAAGGAGGCCACAATGCAGTTAGGAACTTGGTTTTGAACTCACGTGGAACTGGAAATTAATCCCCTCTCCCCTCACAGACATGACGGCTAAGGACAAGAACTAACCTGCATAGGCCTCCGTTTTGTCATCTGTAACTGGGCATTAGCGTGTCTCCCAGGAGGGATCATGGAGGATCACATAGATCATAGGGGCTCATAGTTTTGATTTTTCAGTGAAATATCTCCTAGGGCTGCTTCAATAATCGCGCCAGACGGTGGCTGGCAACAAACCCAGCCTCCAGTTACGACGGCTCGCCCTCTCGTGGCGGCATCCTGCCACTGCATCCGACGCCCAAGGAGGCTTGTGGGCCGAAATAGTCTTGCTTAGAGTTAACTGAGTGGACCCAGATCTCTTTCCACCCACGCTTTGCTTAAGTCCGGCCCATTTATACCCATTCCAGCGACTGCTGGGTAGCTAGGTGGAGAAAGCTATCCAGGCCTCAGGTTACAGTGAAAATGTAAGTTCTTATTCAGAGAGGTTGGGAGCCAGGCTAGCTTGTAAGGAAGGCAGCAACTTGTACTGCTGCTGGGCCAGCAGGGTATTCGAAGAACGAATATTGTACTGCCCAGAACTCTTCAGGGTGCATGCATCCCCCACTGCTAGAGAGCCATGACTGTGGTAGGCCCCACAGAATAATAAAGGGCAGCTTCAGACTGACAACTGACAGGAGAAAGGCAACCCTCCTACCTCAAACCAGTGAGGGGGTAGCATTGCAACAGGCTGCCTGCCTCACTTAGTACCCCAAAACCAAAAGATGCTGAGCCATCTCTGAATCATGGAGTGACAGACCCAGTTAACTGAGAAACCCTCCCAAATTCCTGGGCTCCTGTGGGCAGGAACCCCTACAGACGGGACTTTCTCAGAAAGCTAATACCCTGCTGCATGAGAGCTAGGACCTAAAAAATGCTTGGACTCTTGTGGATTCTTGGATGCAGGCAAGTGGCAAGTGTGTGGTCAGAGTGCTCTCCTGAGTACCAGCCCTTTCCTCACCCCAGGGTCCTTCGCTCCAACCCCCTCCTTCTTCCTGCTCCCATGGCTTACCCACCCTATTTCTTTACCGCGCTCTTGCATCGCAGTTCAACTAGGCTTTCTCTGGCTGGCCGACCCCTGCCCCATCTCTGCGCCCTGGTAGTAGTGCCATTGGATGGCGAGGTCCAAATCCAGTTAACGGGAGCATGAACTGGGGCCTCACAAGTTAGGCAAGCACTCCACGCCAAGTTTTATCTCTGTCTTCAACAGGGTTGCAGACAAAGGAACAAGTGTTGAGAGAGGAAAATGGCTGAGGGTCCTCATAGCAGGATAGGACTGAGTTCTGTTTTTAAACAGTGTTCCTCTGTAGAGACCATAAAAGCAGCTAGAGCAGGGAAAGATAGCCTAGACATTTCAAAAACATTTAGACCTATCCCTTAAGCTCTTGCTGCTGAAAATCATGACGGTAGTGGGGAGGCCGAGGCTGGAGGGTCCCCAGTGTAAGGCTATCCTGGGGCACTTAGTGAGACTACAGAAATGTAGTCTGCTTCAGACTATCTCACTTGTCTACGAAGGCCAAGGGCAAGAAAGGCAGACCAGGGAGATATGCCTCATCACTAGGGACCCAGACAACCCAAGTTCCCCAGCCAGGCTCTGGCCCAACAGCCTTCTGTGAGAATTAAACAGAGAAGCCTTCCACAAGCGTTCTGATGCTCACTTTATTCAATGCTCAACTGTCCTCAGAGAACAAGCCACCATTTTATGCTCTGAGAACTGCTTCAGTGCCTGTGAGTTCCCTACCATAAAAACATTCAACACTAAAACCAAAAACTTTAAATGAGAAAGGAGCCTATCATTGCTTAAGCTTCAGAGAAGCGGCCCAGCTGTCAGGACGTTCACTAGCCTTGTCAGAACAAGGACAAGGGCCCATGGCTGAGCAAAGCTGGGATGCTGCAGGACCTGCTGTCAACATCCCAGTCTCTGGCACCAGCCCTGCATAAGCTGGAAGCCTTAATGTTTGTGGTATCCAGCCCTGGGGATTGGACAGAGCGGGCAGAAGGCTGAAATGGATGGTACCTTCTGTCCTGTGAAAGGCTGGGGAAATCAGAGGCCACCTGTAGAGGTGAATTTCATAAGTGGCATGGCCCAGGATGGTTAAATTCATTCCTAAACTTGTGTTTCACCAGCCCCCCCACCTTCAAAGGCCCTGCCCAACCTGGACACTCTCTCCCTTCATATACCACTTCAACACCCACACAGGATCCAGAGAACCCTGGAAACCACATCCCTCCTCCTGTCTTGAAATCAGGGTTAGCTGCCATTTTATACCTTAATATCCCTCCTCGTTATAAAACATGAACACAGGTGAAAAAAATCATTGCTGTCCTATATGCCCTCCCCTCCCTCCTGGCGGCCTTTGAGGTGGCCTGTGGCTTAGTTGGACTGCTCCTGGAAGGGATGCTGGCTGGGCTCTCTGGGGGCCTCCGCATCCTGACCATCTGTAAAGGACAAAGAAAGCAGTTGGTTTAGAAAGAGGCTGAGTCACAGGCTCTCAGAGGCAGATTTCCTGCAAGGCCTGCTCTTGTTCCCGGGCCCCGTGGAGAGTGACTCTGCTGTCCTTCACCCTGGCCACAGGGAGCCTTGAGTCCCCCGTCCAGCTCTGCTCTTCACTGCTGTTTCTCCCAGCTAGGAGCTTCCACTTGCCCTTCTGTAACAAGACGACTGGTGAACAGCAAGGGGCAGCTAATCTCATGAGTGCCTTGCTGGCTTCTGTTTAGTTTACCCTCCGAAGAGTCTCATGAGGCAGAGGCCACTATTTGTCCTCTTTGGCAGGTGCTGGACCTGAAGCGCCATGAGGGCACGAGTTTGTCCAAGGTTGCATAGCCAGTACAAGTTAAGAACAGAGTGTAGTTCAGGCTACTAGCCAGGGAGCTTCAAGCCCTCTCCTGGCCTCTACAGACATCTTCACACATGCAGCAAACATACATATTCAATCACACAGATTAATTTAAAAATTATCTAAAAAGAAACAAAGCCAAGAGTCCTCAATCCCCCCCCAAAAAAGAATGAAATGGTGTGGTGGTGAGTGGTGGGAGGTGGTGGTGGAAGGAAGGGCCTCAGCCCTGCTCCGGCTCCGGGAGCTTCGTGGCCACTTGCACTCACACATACAGAGAACCTGAGTCTGCTCCCTGGAAGCTCTGAGAAGCATGATGGCTAGGGAGGTGGCACAGGGAGATGTCCCACTCCTGCAGCCACGCTAGCCTAACCGATGAGCTCCAGGCCAATGACAATGAGAAACCCTGTCTCAAAGGAGATGGACCATGTTCCTGAAGGTAACACCCAAGGTTATTCTGTGCTCATGTATGTGGATGCTCACCCCACACACGTATACACACATGCACACATGCATAAAAGTAAAAAATCAATTTCCTAAAAAATTAAAAAAGAAATTACAAAGCGCTCATAAATCCCAAAGGCCTGCTGACCCTGTGGATGGTACTATGCGGGGGAACCCTGAGGTCCCATGCTGGGGTCTCCCAGGCAGCAGTGGCAGAGCTGCAAGGAAGACTCTCTAGCTCCTGTCATCCCCTGGGGGATGACAAGAATGGTGTCTCCTGAGCGGAACCTCCAATGACTGCAGGTCTGGGAGCCTCTGATGTCCCACACTTGCCCACAGGGCTGTTAGGGAGAAAGTGTCAGTCCCGCATATGAGGTCACATAGAGAAGCCCCTCCTGGTCCCTTCTGGCCTCCTTGGTGTATGCTAATAGGCTATGAGAGGGCTCAGCCCCAGGCCCCTCTCTCCACCCCCACTTCAGATGACCCCTCCGAGGCAGGAATATTGGTCTCTTACTGGTGTTCTCCTTGTCTGTATCGTACAGGATGGTCAGTGAGAAGGACGGTGGAGATGGCGGCGGCGGGGGCGGCGGCAGGTAGTGCAGAGCAGAGAGGTAGCCTGGAGGAAGGAACTGGGACTGCTGTGGCTGGGACGGTGGAGGAGGTAGTGGCGGTGGTGGTGGCGGTGGTGAGCAGTAGGTGGGCTGGAGGTCTCGGGCTGGTTCTGACACCTGCACCACGGACACACAGACAGAGGGACAGGGAGGGAGGCAGTGAGCAAGGCCGGCTGGTCAATCACTTCTTTTATGCCTCTAATGGGGAGAGGGTTGGCTCCCCATGGCGGCAGATGTACTTCAGTGTACAGGGCACCTGGGGCAGGGTATGCAGCAAACGTGTGCTACATGAATGCAGGCAAGCAGGAATGCACCTATCTTAGCTGAACCTGGGAACTTTCCCAGAACTCCCCAGGGTGCAGGGCTAAGAGGAAGGAGAATTGCCAAGATGACCTGTCCAACTCCAGTGGCTGGGCTTTCTTAGGAAGAGGGGACCAGAGGAAGCACATGCGCGCGCACACACACACACATACACACAGTGGCAGCAGGTAGGCAGGGACAAGGATAATTCGGGGGATGTTGCTGGGTGTGTTTCAAGCCTGTGGTGAGGATAGCAGCACGTGACTGAAAACAATCTACTGGCCCGTAGGTTTGATCCAGACGTGACAGGGGTGGGAAGGGGACCGTGAGCATTCTAATCCCAAGCTCTCAGCCGAGTCTCTTGTTGGATCACAGCTTCTGCCCGGGGCCAGTGTGACAGCTCAGCCCCAAATTCCGACTGGACTCAAACCCTTCACAGCAGTGTCTGGTAGGCCTGTCTGTCCGTCAGAGCCCTGCCCTGGATGCCAAAGTCAGGCTTCTGTGTGAGCAGACAGCTTCCGTACCACAGGCTCCATTTGGTCACAGCCTCGTTGTCTGCAGGCTGGTGGCACCTACTCTCCTGGGCTGTAATAAGGGGGCAAACGGAGCACCCACGTCTCTCAGGTTGGGCAGTAAACGGTGCCGTGAGAGTCAAGAGCCAGGATTTCTCTACCTCTGAGACACACCTGGGATAGCAGAAAACACCTGGACTAGAAGCAGAGCATCCCTGACCCCACACCAACCAGCTATGGTCCTGAGTCCCAAGTCTCACTCATGAGACCCGTGGCACTGATACTCAGCAGAATAAAAGCTTTCTAGAAGTTGCACTGCACCAGTCAAAGGTCATAGTCACCCCTGAGCTCCCAGTGCCTTTTGGCCTCCAACTGGGAGTAGCAGACACCAGAGCTCAGGCCTAGTGGTGCAGACCCACCTGCCTGTGCACTCCTAGAGACAGACATGCCTTATGACAACTGGCCCTCTGGGAACTGGGGACCAGTCAAAGTGGAGCTGGGATAAGGACGAACTTGGAAAGGAGTTGGGCTCCGATTTACCAGGCTGCCTCCATGATAGGGGCTGCAGGAGACATGACGGAAGCTTCTTTGTTGAGGGATCCCCACAGCTGAGGATGCATCCTGGCCATCCAGTGGGAAGGGCTGGTAGGATGGCATGGGGACACAGGCAGGGCACTGCTTGAAAGGCTCTCTCTCAGGGTACCCAGCTCCCCCCACATGATCAGAGCTGAATCTCAGAGGATGCCCTAAGAAGACAAACAACGAGAGGAGTGTTAGGAACACAACTCTGAGGGATCAAGGTTTGCATTGCTGTCTCCCGGGTAACCGCAAGATTGACATAACCAACTAAAGAAGGCTCATACCATACTGGGTTTCATTATACTTTTATACATGTATATATGAAATATTTTGATCGTATTCACCCCCATGCCCTCTTATCCGGCCCCCCATTCTCACTGATCCTTCCTCCATTTGACCCCTTTCTGCTTTAATGCCTCTTTGTGTTTGTGTGTGAACCAGTAAGATTAACTAGTTACAGGAACATCGGAGGCCACACCACTGCATAAAGAGTGTTTCTCGCTTGCTCAGCAACTAGCAATTGCATATAGATACTCAGGGGGGAGGTTCTCATGAACCTAATCTCATGCAGGCAGTAGGCTGCCATGAGTTAGTGAGTACAACACCCTGGGCTCTTATACTCTTCCCAGGCCCTCTTCATGGTATTCTCTGAGACCTGGTGGAACACTCAACCGTCACGTATCCTCGGTAATTTCACCACTTAGGCGTCTGTAGTAACTGCCACCCAACACTAACAGTGACACTCATCTCTTAGGGAGAGTTCTGGCACAACTGTGCTGAGATGAGCAGTGAAAGTCTCAGTCCCCGCCTTTGCTTGACATTGTGTTGTGGACGGACGATTGCTTTGGTGCTGGTGCACCCCGGGGAGGGTGTACGCCACTGTTTAGTGGTTCTCACTCACCACTGGACTCTCTTAAATTTATGTTCCTGTGATGCAGGTGTTAACAGCACACCCCAGCAGTTCCCACCGAGTCACTGGAGCAGCATCTCTCCTGTTCTGGAATACTTAGCCATACTCCTTTGATCTTTCATCCATCTGAAGACCTTTGCAGGTGTTGGATCCTAGCTGACCCACTACCAGGCCTCTCTACATTGACCAGCAGGGTTCTTTGAAGGGCATTATCCTTCCCGCAAGGATGGGATTCCTTGTCACTGTGGCAAACACCCAGGGCAGTTTAAAGAAGGGCTAACTCATTTAGGCCCACAGTCCAGGGCTGTTGGCACCACTGTGAGTCTTGGTGAGGCAGAGAAGCCTGGTCCAAGGCTGTGGTGAAGCCACTACTCAGTTATTTCAGCCAGGAGGCATCAGGAAAGGACGGCCTGCTAACAAGCTTTCTCTTTGTCACCTTTCACCCTACCCAAGACCCAGGCTATGAGATGGTGACACCTACATTCGGGACCTACCTCCCCCGCTTAGTAAGCTCTCTCTGGAAATGACTCCCAGAGACCCAGGTGGATGTCCTGAGTTCTCCACACATGCCGTGCCGTGCGGGATGAGCCACAAGGGCCTACCTTCTCCCCACCCCTTTTTCATAGCACTTGTGCTCAGCACATTTTAAGTTCTGCTTGTTGAGAGGTGGGACAAAGGTATGCTCTTACAGGATTGCTGTTTTAGGCCTGTCTTCCTCATCAAAGAGCTAGTTCCTTGGGGGGGGGGGAGATAGACTGCTTTCAAAGTCCCAGAAAGCAGAAATAGCGGAACACTGGCATCAATTTCTGAAAGTCTGGCACTGAAGGAAGAAATAGACATAAGCAGCCTGCTGCCTCAGACTTTGTCACAGGGGGAAATACCAAAACCACATCTATCTCCCGGCCGCCACTTTCCAAGTGCCTCACATCTCCATTGGTTGAAACCATTCTTTAGGGGCTGGAGAGATGGCTCAGTGGTTAAGAGCACTGTTCTTCCAGAGGACCAGGGCTCCAGCACCCACATGGCAGCTCACAACTGTCTGTAATACTAGTTCCAGGGGATCTGACAAGCTCACTCAGACATAAATGCGGGCAAAACACCAATGCACTACAAATAAATAATTTATAAAGAAAGAAAATGCGGGCAAAACACCAACGCACTTAAAAATAATTTTCTTTCTTTCTTTGTTTTTCGAGTCAGGGTTTCTCTGTATTGCTGTGGAGCCTGTCCTGGAACTCACTCGGCTGACCAGGCTGGCTTCAAACCCACAGAGATCTGCCTGCCTCTGCCTCCCGAGGGCTGGGATTAAAGTCATGAGCCACCACCGCCCGGTTATTGAAAAAGAAAAAAGAAAAAAAAAATCGTACTTTAATCGTGAAAGCAACATGGCATAAGAAACAATGTAATTGAGGCACAAAGTGAGGCGAGGAAAAAGCCGCAACATCTGAGGGAACCAATGGTCCCCTTTGGCCAAGTAGCAGAAATGCTTGATGCCCAACCACATCCGGTGAAACACAAAAAGTGAGTTCAGGTGCATCAGGCCAGACACTGCGGTTCAGAGAAAATTCGAGACTCCGCCAGGCCAGAGGGGAGTGCGCAGGCGCAGTCCAGAGAGCACGTTCAAAATGGGGCTCCAGCTGGAGAAAATGGCAGGCCAGGCATTGCACGCAGGCGCAAGAGCAGAGTCGGGAGGGGGAGGGGATGACGTGCCGGGTCTTCCCCAGAGGGGCGACAGGAAGGCGCTGCCGCCGGAGCTGCCCGGCTGCCATTTTTACTAGCAAAAGTACAAAGGCAGGAAACTGCATCCCAGCGCGAAGGCCCCTGCACGGCCCGCTGTCTCCCACCAGCCCTTCCCCATTGCCATCAGAAGCCACCCACCCACATACTGGTCTGGGAAGGCGTTCTCAAAGCAGGGTTATCCGGGGAAGGCGCCCTCTCCACCCCGGCACCAGTCTGGGACTCCAGCTTAGAGCCCGAGGCTGCAGGCCCGAGGAACCGTCGGCTGCACGAGGCCGGGCTTAGCGGGCTTACCGTAGTCGGAGAACGGCAGTCGGGGCACGGGTCGCACTGGCAGGCGCTGCTCGGGGCCGCAGGACTCGGGCCTGGGCACCTGCGGGCTGAGCTGGGGCAGCCACGCGGAGGGACGCTCGGGCGGTCCCCCGGGGCCCCCCAGGCCAGGCTGGAAGGTGCTGGGGCCCGGGCGGCCGCCTGGGACCAGCTGGAAGGCATTGGGGCCTGGGCTCCGGGCCTGCGGGGGCCTCTCGAGGAAGCAGGCGGCCACGGGGCCTGGCCCAGCGCCTCGTCCGGCGCCTCCCGGAGCCACCCTGGGCAGTGGGCAAATGCTGGAGCTCGAGGAGGTGGCGGCCGCCACAGGAGCCCCAGGAGGCAGCTGGGAGCCCTGCTCCTCGGCAGCTTGCGTCTTGAGCACCTTCTGGGCAGCCATGATCTTCTGGCGCTCGGTGATCAGGTAGCACTTATCGCAGATGCACTGCTTCCAGCGGCACTTGCCCGCATGGCCCTTGACTGGCACCAGATAGCCGTGGTTCCGGCACCTTGAGCACTTGGGGGTGCGAAGCATCTTGTCGTCCAGCTTGGCAAGCTCTGCTTCCAAACACAGCCACCACCTCCAGAAGCTGCAGAGCAAGTGAAGCAGGAACGAGCGGTGCCCCACAAGTCCCTGGTGCTGGGGATATTGGATACACTTGTAACAAAACAGTTCACTGAGTGTCCCCGGAACTGCAATAGGGCTCTTGGATTTTCCCCTTTTTTTCGGGGGGTGCAAAATTTGCAGCATTTCCATGTGTTGAGTAGTGGGGTATGGATATATTAAAAGTGGAATACTTATTGTATGTATGTCATTGTGGGTTATTTGAAGTCTCCGGCGCTTGAATTTTCGAACTTTCTGTTCCCGCCAAATTGTAACTGGAAAATAGTTTGAATTTTTTTTTTCTTTGAAAAAAGGCGGACTACTCAACGGTCCAGAGTTTTAAAACTCGTGAGAAACAGAGCTGTTACAGTAAACCCATTCCATACGAAAGTTCCAGAGGAGGCAATGTTCCTCTCTGAAGCTGCTGCCTCCATTCTCGTCTCTCTCCAGGACAAGGAGCAGTCATGCTTTCAGATTATGCTTAGGAGCTCAGTGCAGCGTGGTGGCTGCTTACAGGCATGCCCTTACAGAAATTCTGAGTTTTTGAATCCTGTGTCAGGAGTTGTATCTGAAAAATTCGTCCTTAAAAATGTCCTAAAATAGCCGATTGGTGATGGCGTTCACCTTTAATTCCAGCACTCGGGAAGCAGAGGCAGGCCGGTCTCTGTGAGTTTGACCCGCCTCTGTGAGTTCCAGGGCAGCCAGGGCTGTCACACAGAGAAACCCTGTCTCCAAAAACCAAAACCAAAACCAAAAAAACAGCAACAAAAAGTTCTTCTTGAGACAGCTGCTGATCCAGGGTGAGACACAGCAAGGTGTGTGCAGACCTAGCTTGTACCTCCAGGATGGCCATTATACCGAGATACTACTGATATTACAAAGAGCCACAGTTTGACAGTTTGCTTGGCTTGTGACAAAGAACAGATTCAAGTCCAGTCACTCTCAGAGAAAGGAAGTGCCAAACTTTGCATCAAAATCCCACCCAAAGACAAAATAGCAACACACACACAAATCTCCATTTTAAAATCTCTAATAACCCAAACCCACACAATCTGTCATTTAAAAAAAAACAAAAACAAAAAACTTAGCATTTGTATGTTTGTTTGAGACAAGGCCTCACTATAAAGCTCTGGCTGTCCAGGAGCTCACTGTGTAGACCAGGTTGGTCTTGAACTCACATACTCACATGGATCCGAGGACTCTACCTCTAGAGTGCTGGGATTTGAAGGCATGTGCCACTACACCCTGGCTTTGGCTCTTTTTTTTTTTTTTTTTTTTTTTTTTTAGGAATGTCTATGGTGTCTTTCAAAAGGTTTTTTAAAACTTAAAGACAGGCTATGCTTTAAATGGTAATCAGGCCAATTCAGAGAGTCAGAAGCAGACTGGCTGTGTTGACAAGATCAGAACTAAATAACCACAAAAGTGGGAATATATACCACTACACAGTGCAGATCCCTGGAGCTCCCCCAAGCCTTAAATTTTTTTTTTTTTTTTTTGAGCCAGAACTTACTCCATTTGTGAAGCATCAGCTAGGATCTGTCCCAGCTGTGGTCCTGCAGTGGCTGTCCTGACTCTGGCTACTTAATCTGGAACCTCAGCAGAAATCCCTCGGGGAGTTCAGCTGCCTCTGCCCATTTGCCCCCTGGAGAACGCATTGCTGTGACCCCACGAAAAAGCTCAGGTTCCTGGCAGAGGCCCCTCAGCCGTGGGATCGTTGGTCAGACAGTTTGTCCGCAAAGTCGACTTCAATTTCCTCGCCTCCCTCCATTTACAGCCTCCCTCCTTTACAGCCTCCCTCCATTACAGCCTCCCTCCATTACAGTGCCCTCCCTTACAGTGCCCTCCGCATAGTCCACGCTCTGGAAGGTGGAGATACCAGAGCTGCAAGATCACTGTCTTTTACAACCACCACTTCAAAGACCTGTCTACTTTGAGAAGATCTACCCCAGAGACCCCTCGCTGAGAAACTCATGCGCCTCAGAAAGGGTTACTTTATCTGATGTGGTGGTCATGGCTGAGCCAGTAAACCTGGCAAGTCCGTGACCCAAATCTGGTGGCCAGAGCCTTGCGGTGTGAGAGTCTGAACTGTTTTTGTTTTGGGTCTGTTTGACTTTTCGAGACAGGGTTTCTCTGTGTAGCCATGACTGTCCTGGAACTCACTCTGTAGACCAGGCTGGGCTCAAACCGCCTGCCTCTGCCACCGCCTCCGGAGTCATCCGCCTCCGGAGCCCTGGGATGAAAGGCGCGTGCCACCATCTCCTGGTGGGTCTGAATTGTTTTAATTCTCGTGAATTCAGTTATATCTGTAAAGCAATCCAAATCTTGGAAAGGCTGGCACAACCTTCCTAGGTGTTTTGTTTGTGCATGGAATGGAACCAGGGCTCCTGCATGTTAGGCAAAGCATCCAACTATAACCCTACCTTTTCTTTTCTCTTCCTTCCTTCCCTGCCTCCCTCCCTCATTCCTTTTTTCCTTTGAGTAGACTGTAGTGAAATTACCGGGTCTGCCCTGGAGCTGGCTCAGTAGCCTGGCTAGGCCCTGAATTCCAGATCCAGTTGCCCCGTAGTTTTGATTACAGTCAGGTCTAGCTACAAACATTAATCAGGGACACTAAATTATTTATAAATTGAGTTTGATAAAAATCTGCAGCACTCTTGAGGGGTGTCATCTGAAGGGGTGGGGGACACACTAGTACCTAGGGTGGAAAGCTTTCGACAGGATTAGTTCTATTGAAGGAGATATTTATGCTTGCTAGCTAGCTACCTTCAGGGTGTTTTCATTGCATTGTTCTGAAATCTTCTGGCGATATCACCCCCCTTCCTCTACCCCCCTCCCAGGGTCAGAAGTTGTTACCATTCTGAGCCTCATTAGATTCTAAAGAGCTGAATGGGAGTTCAGAAAATCTTTGCTTGTTTGGAAAAAGAAAAAAAAAAAGTATTACTCATCTTTGTGGGTAGACAAGCCCATGTTCCTTGGTTATTTGTCACTTTAGGAATTTAATGGGTAGCTAGCACCGTTTAAAGAGTCTAGGTTTTAGCCAGGAGGATTAAAACACAGGCCTTTAATCCTAGCACTCAGAGGCAGAGGCAGATGGATCTCTGAGGTTGAGGCCAGCCTGGTCTATAGAGTGAGTTCCAGGACAGCCAGGGCTACACAGAGAAGCCCTGTCTCAAAAACCCAAGGAAAAGGGAAGAAAAAAAAAAAAAAAAAAAAAAAAAAAGAGGAGTAGTCATGGTCTAGGTGTCTAGGTTTGTCTGCCCAGCCCCTAACACCTGTGTTCATCTCAGATTTTTAAACACAGGCCCCTCCCTTAGATAAAGGGCAGGAACTCTTTCTTCAACACCAACCAGTTTCAAACTGTCTAATATTTTTTTCACTGACCCGTTATTTAAAAATAATACCTAAAAATCTTCACTTCAGGGGCTCTGATGTCAAGAAGTGGGCAGGGCACTCCACCTTTACAGAGTGTGGGCACTAGTTCTGGAGGCTCATCCTCAAATATCAGAACCCCCCCCCAAAAAAAAAACAGAGGGAACAGAGACAGTGAAGTGGCTGAGCAGGCAGAATCGATTGACCACCAGCTGCCTGAGGCAGTTTGAGCTAGAGGTTTGGACAACCCTGTAGGTGTTAATGGCTTAGACAAAGCTGCTTTGTACTGGACTTGTCCTGGTCAGCACAGACATGGTGGACATATTGTTTACAAAGCTGAACAGTGAACCAAGCAAACAGAATGAGTGGGGAGACGTGGCTTTGCATGCTGATGCCCGGAAGGCTTGTACAGACATTGTTCACTTGCTCCTGGCAAAAGGTGAGAACAGATTTAGGAAATAACAGGAAGGAGCTGTCCCCACCATGATCACTAATGCTGCATGTAAATGGCTCCTCGAAAGGGACAGGAAACAGACTTCATTTCAATACTATGCAATGCCCAGGGCTACTTTTGAAAAAAAAAGTTATTATTTATTTATATGTGTATGTCTTTGTGTGTGCAAGAATGTGAGTGTGTTTGCATGTGCATATGTGTGTAAGCCAGAGGTAGACTATAAAGTATCTTCTTTGATCACTGACTACCTTAGTTTTTGAGACAGGGTCTCTTGCTGGACCTGGAGCTTACTATTTCAGGCAGCCTATCTGGCCAGCAAGCTCCTGTACCTTCCCGGCTTTGTCTCCCAAGCCCTGAGATCAAGGCACATGTCCTTGGCTTTTTCGTGGGTGCTGAGCATCCAAACTCAGCTCATGCTTGCATGACTGAATCACCTCCTCCTCCACCACCACCACCACCACAGCAAGATTATCTTGATGGAAAAGACTCCTTTCTGGAGTGGCTTTGGGACCTTTTGCTTTAGCCATTCCAAAACCTTGTTTCCCTCTACAAGAACACTGCTAATGTAACCTATGTGAGCAGGACAGTGTCACACTGCCACAGAGAAGAACATATCAATAATAGCTCTCACTTTTGGTTTGCCAAAAAGTGACAGGATAACTTTCTGTATAAAATAATTTGTGTTCACCAGAATAGACTGAAAAGAAATTTATCAAGCTATAGAAAGTTGAAGAATTTTTCCCTGTTAAAAACGTCAAACTTTTTCTTAAAGTTCTGTACTTCAAGGATTTTGATATTTTGAATGGGCTTTTCAAGAGAGTAGATGCTTATTATAATAATAAACCAAAATACTTAACAGAAAATTGTTAGCTATTCTGACAAAAATATTTTTCCTTTTTTAAATTTAAACTTGAAACAAGCTTGTTTTACTAAAAATGAAGATTTTAAAGAGTCTATTAAATAACATAATTTCAGTAGGTATTTTCAAAAATTCTAGGGCTTTCCCCAGGGGTCAGGTACACAGGTTGCTTGTCTAGCACATGTGAGGCCCAAGGCCCAGTTCCCAGCACCAAAAAGAAACACACACACACACACACACACACACACACACACACACACACTATTACATACATAATAACATACAGCAATTTTATTTTATTATATACATATTAAAGTCCTTGCTTTGGGTGAAGTGGCAGTTGCTTGAAGACTGTTGCAAGTCTGAGGCCAGCCTAAATTAAACTACATAGCAAGTTCCACACGAGCCAGAACTACATAGCAAGACTCTGATTCAAGCCCGCCACCACTGGGGGGCGGGGAAGCTGGGCATGGTGGCACATGTCTTTAATCCCAGTATTTGGGAGGCAGAGGCAGGCAGATCTCTGGGAGTTCAAGGCCAGCCAGGTCTACGGAGTTAGTTCCAGCACAGTCAGGGCTGTTACACAGAAACCCTGTTTTGAAAACAGGGAAGAAAAAA